TGTTATTTTGTTGTTTTATGATATTTTATGTTATGTTATGTCGTTTATGTTATTTTATTATGAGTCAATTGATAGTACTAATATATCGTCTCTTATTGCTTTCTTGAGCCGGGGGTCGCATGGAAACAGCCTCTCTGCCCCTCGGGGTAGGGGTAAGGTCTACGTACATATTACCCTCCCCAGACCCCACTTGTAGGATTATACTGCGTCGTTGTTGTTGTTGTTGTTGTATGAAAGCCTTTGACACCCTTAAAGAAAAATTATCAACTGCCCCTATAGTTGCGTCCCCTGATTGGAACCAACCTTTTGAGGTCATGTGTGATGCTAGTGATACAGCAGTTGGAGCTGTTTTAGGCCAGAGAAAAGATAAGATTTTTCATCCAATTTACTATGCTAGCAGGACAATGAATGAGGCTCAACTAAATTATGCCACGACTGAAAAAGAACTACTAGCAGTGGTATTTGCATTTGATAAGTTTCATTCCTATCTGATAGGAACCAAGGTCACCGTTTTTACTGATCATGCGGCTCTAAAACACCTCTTAGCAAAAAAAGATGCGCGACCTAGATTGTTAAGATGGATTTTACTTCTCCAAGAATTTGAGCTCGAAATAAAAGATAAAAAGGGAACAGAGAATCAGGTAGCTGACCATTTGTCTAGATTAGAGAACCCCCCCACTTGAGTTGTGTGATATAAAAGAAGAGTTTTCTGATGAACATATTTTTTCTATCAACGCAGTTGTGACTCAACCACCCTGGTTTGCAGATATTGCAAATTACTTGGTTGGAAAATGGACACCCCATGTAACGACCCGACTGGTCGTTTTGCCTTTTAGAACCCCGTTCCCCTAAATAAAGCCTCCCGTACTTGCTTTAACTAATCTATGACTTGCGGGGGCGGTCGGTTCTGGAGTTAGAAGAGTTTTTGAGTGAAAAATGCCTAATTGTTTCTTTAAGAATTCCTTAAAAGGCCAAGTTTGACTTCGGTCAACTTTCTTGGGAAACAGACCCGGATTTGTGATTTGGAAATTTTTGAGGGTCTGTGGGAAAATATGGGACCTGGGTGTATGCCCGGAATCGAATTCCGAGATCCATAGCCCGAGAAATGAATTTTTGTTTAAAATTGTTTAATTAAAGCTTCAAAAAAGAAACTAAGAAATCATTAATTCCCTAGGTATCGGGCTCGGATTTTGGTTCCGAAGCTTGGTACAGGTCCGTAATGTCATTTAAGACTTGCTTGTGAGATTTGGTGCCAATCCGAGTAGTTTAAGGGCATTTTGACCCGTTAGAGGAGAAATAAGAACTTGAAGATTCAATAGTTTGATTCATTTGGTTTTAGGGGGTGATTCCAAGATTTAGCATTGTTTTGAGTGATCCGAGGGTTCGAGTAGGTCCGCCTCATGATTTCAGACTTGTCGGTGTATTCGGGCGGGGCTCGGGAGCCCCGAGCGTCAAAGGAGCGAGGTTCGAGCTAAGTAAGAAAATTGAAGAAGAGCTGAAGTTGTTGCTTCTGTCATAACCGCATCTGCGGTTCTTGGACCGCAGAAGCGGTACCGCAGATGCGGTCAGCTCATCGCAAAAGCGGAAAGGGCCAGGCCAAGGGGAAACCACAGAAGCGGCCCAGAGACCGCAGAAGCGGTTCCGCTTAAGCGGTCCCCAGACCGCAGAAGCGGTCCAGCTCCTTAGGCCCAAATCCGCAGAAGCGGACCCGCAAAAGCGGGCACCTGACCGCAGAAGCGGTCCAGGCTTCTTGGGCCATTTTCGCAAAAGCGGGCCTATTTTCGCAAAAGCGATTTCCGCAGAAGCGGTCCTAGCACCGCAGAAGCGGAAATCGCTGGGCAGAGAGTTCATTTAATTCGAACTCAAAGGCCATTTTTCATTTCTCACTCCACACTTAGGCAATTTGGGGGCTTCCAAAGAGAGGGTTTCAACATAGCACTTCAAGGTAAGTTACTCCCATTCATTATTAGTTTAAATACATATATATTCGGTAGATTAAACACTAAAAATTAGATAAAATCAAAGGGTTAGAGCTAGACCTAGGGTTTTAATAAAATTAAGATTTAAGCATGAAATTTGTTATGAAATGGACTAGAATTTATATATTATTGATCCTTAGGTTGTAGAGAACAATTTCCTTCGAAAAATATCGGAATCCGGGCACCGTGGGCCCGGGGTCGGAAATTAGTAAACTTGTTGAAAAGGTTGGGAAATTACTTAAATAGTTAGAATTCGACCTTTTAAGCCTTTATTGACTAGTTCTTACCTATTTTAACTAGTCTGTGATCGTTCGGCTTCGAATTAAGAGGTTGGGCTTGTTCTCGATATTGGTAGCGCACTTTGGAGCGAGGTGAGTCTCCTTTCTAACCTTGTAAGAGGGAATTGTCCCCATAGGTGTAATAACTGAATAATTGTTGCTAAATGCGGGGGCTACGTACGTACTAGGTGACGAGAGTCCGTGCGTAGCTACTATGATATTAATTGTATGGGTAGTTTAGGACCCACATCACGCCTAATTTGAAAGTATCTCTTATTTAAATTGCCACTATGATCATTCATGATATGCTACAAACTTAAAGGAAATATGAAGCGAACGTATGAACTTGTTAAGCCTTGGTAAGAGCTTCCTGGTATATGTATGAACCTTCGTGTGCATTCTTGATGTTTTCTTGATATTTATGGATCGGGCCGATCGCCTCGGTGAGAATAGATGCATCTATGTTTCGTTCCGTTCGACCCTCGGCGGTGCACATTTTAATTCTGTTGGATGTATATTCTACTAGTTGCCCGTAGCTTGTGACACCAGGTTCTGGCACACACTTTGGGAGATGATTATTCTGGGGTTGTGTAATCATATTATTACAGTATTCAGTTCTTCTGGTTTAAACTCCAATTTGAGTGTTTATTTCACTTATTTTAATTAACAACAACATAAGTATGTTAGAAATGTTTCCGCAATTGGCTTGCCTGACAAGGGTGTCAGGCGCCCTCATGACCTATTGTAAAAATGGGTCGTGACAACATGGTATCAGAGCACTAGGTTCACGTAGGTCTCACAAGTTATGGGCAAACCTGATAGAGTCTTGTTGATTGGTACGGAGACGTCTGTATTTATCTTCGAGAGGCTATAGGGTATTAGGAAAGACTACTCTTTATTCATTTCCTGTCGTGCAGTGCTTAGAGTACTAAATTTCCCTCTTCTATTCTCTCACAGATGGTGAGAACTCGTACCGCCGACGTTCCGGACCCGGGAGGAGCTGCTCCCCCCGTTGCAGAGGCCGAGGTAGAGGCCGGGGGAGGGCACCGGCCCGTGGTAGGGGACGAGGGCGTCCCAGAGCCGTTCCAGTTGCACCACCAGCAGATCCTGTGGAGGACCCTATTATTGAGGAGCAGGGCGAGGTGCCCGCAGCTGAGCCTACCCCGGCAGATTTCATGACAGCACCGGGATTTCAGGAGGTCATGGGCCGCATGCTACGGTTCATGGATACTATGACTCAGGCTGGTTTATTTCCAGCAGACCCAGCCACTTCATAGTCAGGAGGGGGAGCCCAGACCCCTACTGCTCAGGCTCCAGGCCACGCAGCTGCAGTATATCAGACTCCGGGTGTACTACCCGCAGATGGGGCTCAGCCAGCTGCTGTAGTGGCACCCCAGCCCAGCTGTGGATGGTGACCCACAGAAGTTATTAGACANTGACCCTAGTGAGTATCAAGTCGACCTCTCGTCTCTACTTCTTCGAGATTAGGCGGGATACTCACTGGGTACATATTGTTTATGTACTCATGCTACGCTTCTGTACTTAAATGTACAGGGTCTGAGGCAGGTGGATCCGGTTATTTCTCTGGTGCGCATTCGTGAGCAGGCTTGGGACTTTTACGGTGAGCTGCTTTCCTTCCATGTCGATCCGCAGCCGAAGAAGTCTTTCTTTTGTATTTGTTATTTTCTGTCTATTCGGATCCAGACAGTAGGGTAGCGTGGTATTCTTTTGGATGTATATTCTACTAGTTGCCCGTAGCTTGTGACACCAGGTTCTGGCACACACTTTGGTAGACGATCATTTTTGGGTTGTGTAGTCATATTATTACAGTATTCAGTTCTTCTGGTTTAAATTCCACTTTGAGTGTTTATTTCACTTATCTTAATTAAAAGCAACATAAGTATTTAGAAATGTTTCCGCAAATGGCTTGCCTGACAAGGGCGTCAGGCGCCCTCATGACCCATTGTGAAAATGGGTCGTGACACCCCAAAATCTCACTTACCAACAGAGGAAAAAGTGATATCTGATGCTAAATATTATTTGTGGAATGACCCTTACTTATTTAAAATTTGTGCAGATAATATTATCAGAAGATGTGTACCAGAAGAAGAAATGACCAAAATTTTGTATCATTGCCACGATAGAGCAGTTGAGGACATTATGCAGCAAATCGAACTGCCTTTAAAGTTCTAGAGGTTGGATTTTTCTGGCCAACACTTTTTAAGGACGCTCGTGCCTGCGTTGCACAGTGTGACAGGTGTCAAAAAACAGGTAATATCACTAACAGAGATGAGATGCCATTGCAATCAATACAAGTGTGTGAAATATTTGATGTATGGGGAATAGATTTCATGGGTCCTTTTCCTTCATCTCATTCTTTTGAATATATCCTTGTGGCTGTGGATTATGTTTCAAGATGGGTTGAAGCCATCCCAACAAGGAAAAATGATGCTCAAACTGTGTGCAATTTTCTCAAGAAAAATATTTTTACCAGGTATGGTACACCACGAGTCATCATTAGTGACCAAGGGTCTCATTTCATGAATAGACAATTTTCAGCATTATTGTCAAAATATGGTGTGACTCACAAAACAGGAACACCATACCATGCACAAACACAAGGTCAAATTGAGGTTTCTAACCGTGAATTAAAAAGAATACTTGAAAAACGGTTGGAATCTCCAAAAAAGACTGGGCTTCAAAATTAGATGACATACTATGGGCATATCGAACGGCATTTAAAATGCCAATTGGTACGTCTCCATATCGATTAGTCTTTGGAAAAGCTTGTCATCTTCTTGTTGAATTAGAACACAAAGCTTTTTGGGCGTTGAAAGCATTGAACTTTGAATTAAACTCTGCTGGTAAAAATAGATTTTCTCAGGTGAATGAATTGGAAGAACTCAGATTAGAAGCCTATGAAAATGCCAAAATTTTTAAAGAAAAAACAAAAAAATGGCACGACAATTTAATCCGACAGAAAACTTTTAAAATTGGAGATCATGTACTTCTATACATCAGTAGACTCAGGCTATTTCCAGGAAAATTAAAATCCAAGTGGACGGGTCCTTACAATGTTACAGATGTTACTCCATACGGAGCAATTGAAATTCAACAAACCAATGGTGGAGACAATTTTAAGGTAAATGGTTACAGGTTAAAATTATATTTTGGAGGGCATTTTGAGCAACAACCATCTGTCACTTTAATAGATTGATGAAGTCTACAATTAATAAGTCGAGCTGGCGACATTAAACTCAGAACTATGGTTCCTTACCCGTAGTCATTGAGGGTGAAGCAATGGAGCCTCATAAGTCCAACATAGATTTAAATAGTTAAATGCTTAATCAATTGATCTGGTTAATATCCAGGTTATTGTACAACCAGAACATCTCATGAAGGCCTCTACAAAAACAGAGTCACCTATACAGGAGTAACTCTATGGTGATCGGTATGCCTAAGTAACTGGTTGGTTAACCATTTAATAATATAATTCATATGTTGGCACAGGTAATTTTCTAGTTTATATACAAACTAGACTTGTTATTTATACGCAAAAGGTGTGTGGCTGCAGTTTCTTTCAAGCTTTCTTCTGTAGATAGATAGATAGATATTTTTATCTATATATATATATATATATATATATATATATATATATATATATATATATATATATATATATTAGATCTTTTTTAATAATTATGCCTCTTGTANCCGATCACCGCAGCTTACAGCATTTATTCAAGCAGAGGGATCTCAAGTTGAGACAGCGCAGGTGTCTTGAGCTGCTGAAGGATTATGACATTACCATTCTTTATCATCTGGGCAAGGCGAATGTGGTCGCGGATGCCTTGAGCAGAAAGACGGAGAGTATGGGAAGTAGCTTGGCATTCATTCCAGCAGAGGAGAGGCCCCTAGCTCTGGACATCCAGTCCTTGGCTAACAGACTTGTGAGGTTGGACATTTCAGAGTCCAGCCGAGTTCTAGCATGTGTGGTTGCTTAGTACTCGCTATTGGGGGAGATTAAGGCCCGACAGCTTGATGATCCACATTTGGCAGTTCTCAGAGAGACGGTACTTCAGGGAGGTAACAAGGAGGTTTCTATTGGCGAGGATGGCGTTTTGCGACTCCAGGGTCGCCTGTGTGTTCCTAATGTTGATGGTCTGAGGGAGAGGATCCTAGAGGAGGCACACAGTTCGCGATATTCTATCCACCCGGGGGTTACGAAGATTATCGTGATTTGAGGCAGCATTACTGGTGGCGGGGGATGAAGAAGGACATAGTGAGGTATGTGACTAAGTGTTTGAATTGCCAGCAGGTCAAGTATGAACATCAGAGGCCAGGTGGGCTACTTCAGCAGATGCCCATACCAGAGTGGAATTGGGAACGCATCACCATGGACTTCGTAGTAGGGTTACCGCGGACTTTGCGGAAGGTTGATTTAGTGTGGGTCATTGTGGATAGATTGACCAAGTCAGCCCATTTCATCCTAGTGGCGACTACTTATACAGCGGAGAGGTATGCTCAGATCTATATTCGGAAGATAGTTCGATTGCATGGTGTGCCGGTTTCCATCATATCAGACCGAGGCCCTCAGTTCACTTCCCATTTCTGGAAAGTCGTGCAGAGTGAGTTGGGGACTCGCGTAGAGCTTAGCACAGCATTCCATCCCCAGACCGACGGACAGTCGGAGCGGACAGTGCAAATCTTGGAGGATATGCTTAGAGCATGTGCGATTGATTTTGGAGGGCAGTGGGATCAGTTCTTGCCTCTAGCAGAGTTCGCATACAACAACAGCTATCAGTCCAGCATAGAGATGGCCCCGTATGAGGCTTTATATGGTAGACGTTGTCGTTCTCCTATCGGGTGGTTTGAGCCTGGTGAGGCTAAGGTACTTGGCACAGATCTGGTACAGGATGCCTTGGATAAGGTAAAGTTGATTCAGGAGAGGCTTCGCACAGCTCAGTCCAGACAAAAGAGCTACGCGGATCAGAAGGCATGGGATGTATCATTTATGGTGGGCGAGAAGGTTCTCTTGAAAGTCTCGCCCATGAAGGGCATTATGAGGTTCGGGAAGAAGGGCAAGTTGAGCCCAAGGTTTATTGGCCCCTTTGAGGTGTTGAGGAGAGTTGGGGAGGTTGCTTATGAGCTTGCCTTACCCCCTAGTTTATCAGGAGTTCACCCAGTCTTTCATGTTTCGATGCTTCGGAAGTATCATGCCGACCTATCCCACGTGTTGGAGTTCAGCACCATTCAGCTAGATGCGAGCTTGGGCTATGAGGAGGAGCCAGTTGCTATTATTGATAGACAGGATCGCCAGCTGAGGTCCAAGAAGATTTCTGCGGTGAGAGTCCAGTGGAGGGGCCAACCGATCGAGGAGGCGACCTGGGAGTCCGAGGAGGACATGCAGAGCAGATATCCCCACTTATTCAGCAGTCCAGGTACTTTCCTATGTCCGTTCGAGGATGAACGTTTGTTTAAGAGGTGGAGAATGTAACGACCCGACCGGTCGTTTTGCCTTTTAGAACCCCGTTCTCCTAAATAAAGCCTCCCGTACTTGCTTTAGCTAATTTACGACCTGCGGGGGCGATTGGTTCGGGGATTGGAAGGGTTTTGAGTAAAAAATCCATTTGCTTCTTTAGGATTTCTTAAAAAGACCAAGTTTGACTTCGGTCAACATTTTGGGAAAACGAGCCCGGATTCGTGATTTGACAATTTCTGAGGGTCCGTGGGAAAATATGGGACCTAAGCGTGTGTCCGGAATCGAATTCCGAGGTCCCTAGCCCGAGTAATGAATTTTTATCTAAAATTGTTTAATTGAAGCTTTAAGGAATTAAAGAAACTAAGTAATCATTGATTCCCTAGGTATCAGGCTCGGATTTTGGTTCCGAAGCTTGGTACAGGTCCGTAATGTCATTTAAGACTTGCCCGTAAAATTTGGTGTCAATCTGAATAGTTTAAGGGCGTTTTGACCCGTTAGAGGAGAATTAAGAACTTGAAGATTCAATAGTTTGATTCATTTGGTTTTAGGGGGTGATTCCGAGATTTAGCGTTGTTTTGGGAGTTCCGAGGGTTCGAGTAGGTCCGCGGTGATTTCAGACTTGTCGGTATGTTCAGGCGGGGCTCGGGAGCCCCGAGCGTCAAACGAGCGAGGTTCGAGCGAAATAGAAAAACTTAGGAAGGGCTGAAGATTTTGCTGCTTCTGTCATAACCGCATCTGCGGTTCTTGAGCCACAGAAGCGGGACCGCAGATGCGGTCAGGCCATAGCAGAAGCGAAAAGGGCAAGCCAAGGAGAAAATCGCTGAAGCGGCCCAGGGACCGCATAAGCGGTTCCGCTTATGCGACCCCCAGATTGCAGATGCGGTCCAGTTACTTTAGGCCCAAGCCGCAGAAGCGGCCCATTAACCGCAGAAGCGGTTCTGCATATGCGGGCCTCAGACCGTAGAAGCGGTCCAATCCCCTCTTGCCCAGTTCCGCAGATGCGGCCCCATCTTCGCAGATGCGGGACCGGAGATGTGGTCCCCTAACCGCAGAAGCGGGAATCGCTGGGCAGTGGCCTTCATTTAATTCGAACTCAAACATCACTTTTCATTTTACACTCCACACTTAGGCGATTTGGGGGCTTCCAAAGAGAGGATTTCAACATAGCACTTCAAGGTAAGTTACTCCCATTCATTATTAGTTTAAATACATGTATATTAGGTAGATTAAACACTAAAAATTAGATAAAATCAAAGGGTTAGAGCTAGACCTAGGGTTTCGATAGAATTAAGATTTAAGCATGGAATTTGTTATGAAATGGACTAGAATTTATATATTATTGATCCTTAGGTTGTAGAGAACATTTTCCTTCGAAAAATATCGGAATCCGGGCACGTGGGCCCGGGGTCGGAATTTAGGAAACTTGTGGAAAAGGTTGGGAAATTACTTAAATAGTTAGAATTCGACCTTTTAAGCCTTTATTGACTAGTTCTTACCTATTTTAACTAGTTTGTGATCGTTCGGCTTCGAATTAAGAGCTTGGGCTTGTTCTCGATATTGGGAGCGCGCTTTGGAGCGAGGTGAGTCTCCTTTCTAACCTTGTAAGAGGGAATTGTCCCCATAGGTGTAATAACTGAATAATTGTTGCTAAATGCGGGGGCTACGTACGTACTAGGTGACGAGAGTCCGTGCGTAGCTACTATGATATTAATTGTATGGGTAGTTTAGGACCCACATCATGCCTAATTTGAAAGTATCTCTTATTTAAATTGCCACTATGATCATTCATGATATGCTACAAACTTAAAGGAAATATAAGTGAACGTATGAACTTGTTAAGCCTTGGTAAGAGCTTCCTGGTTATGAACCTTCGTGTGTATTCTTGATGTTTTCTTGATATTTATGGATAGAGCCGATCGCCTCGGTGAGAATAGACGCATCTATGGTTCGTGCCGTTCGACCCTCGGCAGTGCACATTTTAATTCTATTGGAGCGGGCCGTCGACCTCGGTGTGATTGCATATGATATATATATATATATATATGCTGATACTTGAACATGACATGCCTACTTGCTTAGAAATTGAAAATGTAAAATGGAAACTGAAATAGGACAAGAATGTGATTATTGCTCTTTGTTATAAATTGTTGAATATTGGTGACTTTCATGCTTAGAATAGCACAATTATATTATATTATCTTGACCCTAGTGAGTATCAAGTCGACCTCTCGTCTCTACTTCTTCGAGATTAGGCGGGATACTCACTGGTACATATTGTTTATGTACTCATGCTACGCTTCTGTACTTAAATGTACAGGGTCTGAGGCAGGTGGATCCGGTTATTTCTCTGGTGCGCATTCGTGAGCAGGCTTGGGACTTCTACGGTGAGCTGCTTTCCTTCCATGTTGATCCGCAGCCGAAGAAGTCTTTCTTTTGTATTGTTATTTTCTGTCTATTCGGATCCAGACAGTAGGGTAGTGTGGTATCCTTTTGGATGTATATTCTACTAGTTGCCCGTAGCTTGTGACACCAGGTTCTGGCACACACTTTGGTAGACGATTATTCTGGGGTTGTGTAATCATATTATTACAGTATTCAGTTCTTCTGGCTTAAACTCCAATTTGAGTGTTTATTTCACTTATTTTAATTAACAGTACCATAAGTATGTTAGAAATGTTTCCGCAATTGGCTTGCCTGACAAGGGTGTCAGGCGCCCTCATGACCTATTGTGAAAATGGGTCGTGACACCTTTAAACCTAAGGGTTCAGCCTAGTCCTTACCACATAGGAATAGTGGTCCTAAATTCCCTCCAGGACTTATAGGACGGGACAGGTAATAGCACGCAATAAGTATTCGTGACCAACTCACGCGTTTAATAACCTTTATGGGGTGGGAAGGGTAGAATATGGAGATGATGATCACGTGATAACACCACACGTATAATTGGTTACCGGG